GAATATGGCGCGAGTATGATGGAGCTCCCCCCGAGGATCGACCCCGCCCACTCGCTCTCAGTGCCGGTTTGGAAAAAAGAACGCTCGAAGCCCCTGTGGTTGAATATACAGGTTGGCAACAGTCTCATGGCGGCGCATCGGCAGTTCAAGAAGTCTGCTCTGAGTGCTATTTATCACTATCTTTGGTGGCTTGGAAGGGAGGTCGAGGCGCATGCGATGCGACAAGTGATCACAGAGAACAAGGAGTTCGTTATATACATCGATAGCTCGAGCCTAGTTACTTCGAGAGCCGCGACATTGTACACCCTCGAGGAAAAAGATAGACCATTTGGTGAGTCAACCGTAGAGGATGAGAAGAGTCAATTCGCGTACTTGGACTCGACCTCAATCCCCCTGGCTCCCTCTTCAACCACTTCATCGCACATGACCTCAACACAACCTCCCGGAGAGCGAATACAGATGTTACGAGCAAAATCTACGTTTCCGTTTAATGAAACAAACCCCCCTGCTTCAGCAAGCTTTGATTCCAAGGTCCCGCTTTTTCGGCCGTTGGTGCGACTGGTGGATGACACGCGGATACATCAGGGTCACTCCTCCATGCTATCACGTCAGCCCCCCGCACATCGTGCAGAGGTAAAAATGTTCCTCGATTCAAATTTCGACTCCTTGACGCTATGCGAGAGCGCCCCACGTAGCTTTGTGGAGATTGGCCAGGATACGACACCACCAGGGGAAAGCTACGCACACATGGCACCTCACCCCGGAGGTGCAGAAGATCCCTACTATGGAGACGACGTTGACAGCGATGAAGAAGATGAATCGATCAAAATTTTAAATATTCGAAACTTTGAATTTGAAAGTCGCCACAGCGGACTCCAGTTTCCGGACGAGTGGTTCGAGCCGCTAGAGGGCACATGCGAAACTCCTTCCTGGCAAGGCTTTGACTGCTCATGCTGGTCCTTCTCGCTGGAAGCAGTCACATCAGAAGGACTACTGTACTCATTAGGAATGCTGATAGATCCAATCACGGAGCGCTACGTTTTCGACGGCATCCCATTCAGGGAGGAGGCACGTGTTTTGCATACTCCTGTTGATTTCTTTCAAAGTAACAAAAGTGAAAATCGCAAAGACTCACTCGAAGCCGGGGCGGTTCAAAAAAACGTTCGAATGCTACTTCGCGAGTATATCTCTATTTCAAAATCATTTGGGGGCGGTATCGTTGTTCAAACATTTTCAATATTGCCAGACGAAGAGAAGGAGAACGAAGGTGGTAAACCAAAAGTGTATAAAGAGGATGAACTGGACGCCGAATCATACCATCTAATTCCGTCTCATAAGGTTCCGCATTTAGTATGGGAGTGCCTTCCCGGTGCCCTGACAAGGGCCTTTACGTTTGCCCCATTTATGCTATTGGAGGCCGAAGCAAAGAACCAGAACTTTACACAGATAAGAAGCCCCTCCAGATCGAGCTCTCCTGCCGCATGTTTGAATGAAAGGGAAGGCATTCTGACAGCTACCTTATCCATGACCGGCTCGCTGGAGGAGTACACCAGCAACCTAGCGAAATTGAAAGAGGAAGAAATCTCCAGTAGCAAGATTGAAGCGGTGCCTCCTGGCGATCGTGAGTTTTTAGCGGCGGAGGCACTGTGGCGTTACAAACAGCCGAAGCTCTTCAAGTGGGCTATGCGTCATGATCCTGCCGAACTCCAGGTGACGGCCGATCTTCTTTTGAGTTTTCTCTTAAAGTTTATGAAGGCCCAGGAGCAGAGGAGCAGCGTTCATAAATTTTTGAATGCCGTCCGCGCCATCCAGCGTTTCTTGCGCTCCTGTGTGTTGAAGAAGCGACGCGCGCTCCAGAAGATGATGCGGCACTGGCGGCAATTGGAGGTCGGGTCTCGATTCCGGCTGCAGTACTACCGCCCCTTGTGCTCCGCGGCCGGGCAAATCGAAACGATTATTAACAATTTTCTGCAGCAGCACATGGTCACCTCGAACAAGTACAAGATCGAGCTGATTGAGGAGCTCTGGGAGGCCCGACGGACGGCGTATCACGAATGGCGAAAGACGCAATCGCTGCGCGATGTGCTTGTGCATCAGCACGACAGCCTAAACACCCATCCAGGCACGGATAGTGTTAAGAAAGGGCCCTCATCGGCCCCTACGTCTGCGAGGGATCGGGCACCCTGTTTTAACTCGTTGGATGACATCGACAAGTTGATTATGTGGGTTCGCGAGCAAAACTTCGCCTCCGGGGAGGATGGCAACCAAGGGATGCCGGCGGACGGGGATTCTCGGTTGATGTCCTTGATGGTTTCCTGCCTCAACGAGATCGCCTGGCCGACGTGGCAGATGTCGACGCGATCGGAAGCAAGCGATCGAAGCTCGCCAGGTCGAGATAGCGAACACGGCGAACGCACTCGATCCCCTTCTCCATCCCTCCATCATCCCAGATCTATAGGGGAGGAAAAACCCTCAGAAGGGGAGCTCGAGTCCTCCGGGAAGAAACCAAGTCTTTTCCAAAGTGTGGTTCGAAACACGAGTATCCTCAAACTCGGCTCCCGTGCGGACTGGCAATGTCAACAAGACGAGCTTCACGAGCGCTTTGGGTGGTACATTCCCCCCGAGGATCTCCTCCACGAGAGCCACCAGCGTCTGCTCGTCACCCTCGCCTCCTCGGTGCTCACAAAAGAACAAACGCAGCACGAAATTCAGCGCGCTTTACAGGATGTGGCGTTGTTGCGAACCTCATCGGCGTCGGGGATCACCAAATTCCACCTCTCCACCCCATTATCCACTAAACGAAAGGCCAGCGTGGGCGATCGTCGGCAATCCGATGCGGAAGGCACGTCGCTGACGCGGAGAAGAGGGGGCTCGGCGACCAGGAAGCCGTCTTCTTCACCGTGGGTTCCGTTTAAGAGTACGATGGGGAGTTTTACTCGACATACAAGCACCACCACCCGGAAAGAGGGAGTCGCGTCATCGAAGCCAACCGTGCTGGGCTTTCATGGGATGGAGCAGGCGAAGGGGTCGAAACACAAATCGCACACCGACACCACAGGGTTGTGATGGAGAAAAGAGATGCATTGATCTGTAGTAAGATGGAAGCTGGTAAACGTGTTGTGCCCTTCCCACCTATCGATATGTAGTCATATTTATGGATCGACTCTCTATTATACGTTAATACTTATAATAAGTTCGTCACGATGCAATGTAAAATTTGCCGTCTTTGTGTATATTACATTATTTTTGTTGGATTTTATCGATCGGCAGAAAACAACACAATAAAGTTGAATGTATAGTTTTGTTTTCCAATTTCCGATATTTATTAATCTTCTTTTCACCTTACCCTTTGGTGAATGTTCTCTTATGTGAAACTTAATTATTACTTAAATGCATTTCGCTACTACAAAAATGGAAGGGTGAGGGAACGAGTGCATACACTTCCAAGAACCTTTTACAATATGTTTGAGGGTTTATCACTTCTGTTTTGCGTAAACTTTGAGAACCTGCGTTTCCTTTTGTTCGGGAAATCGATTCCTGCAATATTATGCATATCTATTCCATATATTCTAAACCATCTGGTGCGCATTTTTACAACTGTTATGCTATATTATCCCTTAGAAAGACATCTTTGAGGATAAATACACCACAGAAATTTGGGCGAGTTATCCTCACCTCCGTTCATATCCGTGGTTGGTGCTGTTGTTTCCATTTCTTTTCCATTTTTTTTTTGTGTATTTATATATAGATGCGAAACACAGAATGGCGGATGACATGTTGTTCAGCTCTTTACACTCCAGGAATCTCCTTGCGAGGCGCGCACCGCCCTCCCTCGAGCTCTACGTCCAGCTTCTCGCCGCGGGCTTGTGCGCTTCGCTCTCTCACGCGATCCTGAGCCCGTCAGAACCCTCGACTTCGTCGAAATCCCCGCGTGTGAAGCCCTTTCCCTCTATCAACGAACCCCCAGGTCACGCGGAAGGGCTCCGAGGGAATCCAACGGCCTTTCTGACGTCATCCGCCCCACGTAGCCTCCTCGACGCCCGTGGGATCATCCCTCTCCAAGAGGATCTTTCCGCGCACTTCGGCTCGCACGCGTTGCGGAGAGGAGCGGCGAAGCCGTTGGGGCCGGCCTTTCGGAGCGAAAAAGCGCGCGCGCGCGGCGCCCACGCCGGCCGCGCGCAACACATCTGGCGGATGAGGAAAGCCCGCCGGCGGTGGTGCCCGCGTTGTGGGGTGGGGTTGATCGCCTCGCCGGCTTCATCGGCCCCGTTGACGGCGCTGTACGTGAGCCCGCAAGGCGGTCTCTGCGCCGCGGAGAAGGGGAAACTTTCCCCTGGAGTGCGGGTCTGCGCGCGCTGCTTTCGACGGCGATCTCGTCGCCTGGTGGGGCGACTTCGAAAAGATCGCCAAGCGCTCCGTCAGACGCCATCCGAAAGGCCTTTGGACGGGGAAGCGGTTGGATCGAGCTGCCCAATCGCCTTGCCTTGCGAGGGGCAAGCAACCGACGTGTGCGAAACGGGCCTCGCGCAACACCTCCATCGCCTTACGGAGCAATGTAAGATTAAGCAGCGTCGGCGAAAACGCACGCGATGGGCGCGCCGTGCGGCGAAAACAAGCTCCCCTGTGGGAAAGAAAATCTCCTCGAGTGGGGGGCCGGTAAAAACGGCTTCACCTACGATCAAACCCCCATCGATGCCGTTTCTGGCGTCTCGCCAAAAGTTGCTTCAGGAAATTCCGAAGGGGCCCGTACGGTCTGGCGGCGCCAAACCCCTCCCCACGGAACCCCCAAAGCGGCAGAAACTCCAGCCACTCCCACCCTCAGGGGAAAGGCCCTCGCTCCAGAATAAAGCGCCGGATTCAGGGGCGACTAAAGCGCGGCTCGGAAATCAAGAAGCACCTTTAAAACAAGGGCAAAAAAAACCTTCTGGTGGGGCTTTAGCTCCGGCCACACAACGCGCGCTCGTACCCCCCTCCAAAACCAAGCGGCAAGGGAAGCTGCGTGGGGAGGAGCAACCCAACGCACGAGCTCCAGCGCCCCCGCAACCCTCCAGTAAAAAGGTGTTGGACGTGATGAGCAAGCTTGGTTTTTGATCATTTTGACTCAAAAGAGAGCGGGTAGGTGAAAATTTCACATGTCATGAAGTAAAGTTCTGACTTTAATCGCGGAACGAAATCATAATTACACACAGGAGGGAAAAATATCATTACCCTAAAAGTGTTTGTGCTGATTCTTATGACGTTGTTTTCGTCCTTGGGGGTTCCCCCTTTCCCAGCTCAAGGTGTCTGTCTTCACTTTGTTTCATTCTTTTTTCCACTTGAATAAAAGCTTCTGGTAGTACCTAGATCAGACGACCTATAGTGATTATTATCGAGATACATAAGATTATATATATATATATATTAATTCATATATTTGGAGCGGGAGAGGTCTCTATCAAACGTTATTGTTGCGACTCCCTCTTTTTAGTGGTAGATGTCAATATGTGTGTCCATGCATTCTCGTTCAACCTGGCCCTCTAGGATTAACTTCGATATCTTCCACTGTTACTTAGGGGGCTACACCGCGGATGAAGCGGTGGAATATTTAAAATCTGTTCTCGAGCAGGATGACAGGAGCAAGTCCTTCAGCACCGCTTCACTATCTGTGAGCAACTCCAGCCGCGTGCTGTCAGTGCCGCCCTCCCGTAACTCATTCAACGACGGCCCTCCCCTAGAAAAAGTCGGGGAGGTGATTGAGGAAAAGACGAATACCACCCCCACGCCCCGCCTTGAGCAAGGATTGGCTAAAGCGGAGGCTCTTGAAACGAACGTGGAAGTGGCACCCCGGGGTGGGTTGGTGGAGGCCGCGGGGGCTACACCATTGGAGCAGCCCTCTATACCCCGCGAAGTGGGCAGAAAGAAGCCCAACTCTCGGCATGAACGTCATACCCATGGCCACCACCCTCAGGTCTCATCCTATCACCCGCACAGCGGGAGTACGAAACATCAGAGTTTTCACGTCAAAGGCGCCCAAGAGTTGGATGGCGTCGGCAAACATGCTGGTGGCCGAACAGAGGATTGGTTACTGAACTCGCTTGAGCAGGGGCTTCCCTCCCTCGCGGTTCTGGCGGTAGCGGCCGGTTATGCGCAGGTTCAGTCGCTTTTCGATCCCCACGGCGTCTTGATAAAGAAGAAATCGCATCATAAGCACCGGCATACACACGGCGGCCACGCAGAGGCGGTTTCTAGTCGAAGGCACTCGGTGGATGGCCTTTCTATGAAAATCCCCTTCATGTTTGAACTTTCATCGAACGTTTACTTTCATTGCAAAGACTACCGCAAGTATCTCTTTAAATTGGAGCAAGAAAACACAGCGGAGGAGGTAAGAAAAAGTAACCCATCTAATTCTGTCGAGACGACGACGTTGACGCAGCTTTTGCTGGAGGAGGTTAGGGAGCAGTACGATTTCTACCATTACCTAACGAAAGAGATAGAGTACGCGCTCGGTATGCCCTACGCTTTTCTATCCAACAACTACCTACCCATCCCCATCTCCGATCGTCGGAAGCTTGTGGAGCTGTACTACACCGTCGATCCCGCCGTCTTTCGGTATTACTTTGGTATGCGAACAGAGCACTTCGAGCCGATTGTGGGCACTGAAGAGGATCGGAAAAGCCGTGGGCTCTTCCAGAGAGGAGCGGGCCCTGTAGAAGGGAGGACTTTGGATAAAATGACGGCCTACCTCGCTCAAATCTCGCCCTTCTCCCTTCAAAGGCAATGGGAAAACATCCAACGCGTCTGTACCTCGCTGACTGATATGTATCACGGGAAGGATAACATGATCATCCCGCAGGAGGTATCCGTATCTGCGGCGATCAAGCGGTGCTTTGGGGTATCCGACAAACTCACGCTGCACTACAGCGCCGCGGTGTTTGGATTCTATTATGGCCTCCGAACGCGAATTCTCGACCGCTTCAACACCTACGATGATGTCTGCGCGTTGTGCAACATCATCACGTCGTTATGGTGCGATGACTCGCTTCTGTTTCTGGATTTCCACTTCGTGGCGGGGATGAATCGAGTGGTGGCCTTGATCGAGGAGCACCGCGTGCTGGCGGAGCTGCATCAGCAGCTCTTTTCGGAAGCCATGCGAACGCGATGGCAGGTGCAGTTGGATGAGGTTCAGCGCGTTATGATGCCGAACTCCACGGGTGAAAAAACCACCGCGGTCTCGGCTCTTAACATCATCATCTCCTCCGCCCATGGTGGTGATTTGGAGGGGAAAAAAGGGAAGCCGGGCTCCTCAAACATTTCAGATGGAACGACGCAAGGGGGCTCCTCCCCGACTGCGTTCCCTCATAATACGGTGGAATCCACGCCGCAAGCCTCCATCTTCAGTCATTCCCTCTGCTGCAATCGAAAGTACAGTCGACGGTTTGTGTTAGAGTTTCCCCAATTAATTCGGCACCTCACGCGCATGATGGGGACCATCGGTGGGAGTCGGAGTGTGAACGACGCGCTGGAGGTGTTTTATCATCGTATTTATGTTTATCTCGAGTCCTTGAGCTCGCGTTTTGGGCAAGAGGGGTTGCCGTTGGGATCGTACACCCCACAGTCGCTTACACAACCTTCTTTGAAGGAGCCGATCCCGAAACGATCCATCCTGCGCTCGCAATCGGCGTCAAGGCTCTCTTCCACCGCGCCCACCACCCCTCCCACGGAGGAGATCACGGAGAGCTCCCTCCTTCGGCAAGCCAACCTTCGCTCCTGCGAGTCGGGTGTGCGGAAATCCGACAACCCGTCCCTGGAATCCTCCAAAAAGGCAGCAATCACCCCTACTACTCTGACGAACCTGCCGAAATCGATGTCGATGCCCTCCTTTGGGGTGGACTTTTTGAACCGATCGGGCTCACCGAAGCGCAGCCTCCACAGGCTGTCGTCGGAGAGGGTTGGCAATGCTGCATCCGGCCCTGAGGTGAGCCGGGCTCGCGCGATATCCCCGCTCGCTCTGTTTTTAAACTCCTCCACGACAAATTCGTCGGGGAAAACACCGCCCACGCATTCCCTCCGTCCAGAGGCGCCCACGCGCCACGCGAACGGTGATGGTACCCTTAAAATGGGCGACAAAATCGAAGAGGGTGGACGGCATGGAGGGGAAGTTTTCGAATCCAATCATAGAGCTCCTCCAGATACTGCCAATACGACGAATGCGCCTGATATATGTGGCCCTGAATGTGTGATGCTCAAGGCGATCGATAAACACCACCTGCATGAGTTGCTGCTCCTTCTTAGCGAACTTCCCGACGCGTGGCGCCAGCTGAACTCCGTTACGGCAGGAGATCACGCGGAGTGTGACGAGGCGTTTAATTCTTTTGTGATGGCACTGAAGGTTATTACACAGATTTTAATTGCTGCAGATGATTTGCGGTGAAACCAATCTATATATATAACATTCAAGGGTTTCATTTTATGGTACTGTGTGTAACATGGTATTCCTCCATGGGTCGAGCTTTTTTCGATTATGATTGTCTTGGGATGAAGATCATAGAATTCGATTGCACGGTATGAAGCAATGAAGGGTCATTACAAGGGGAGGTGTGATTGAGGGCCCCACAGGGATAGAGTTTTAACCTTAACTTGATGAGTGCCCCCCTCGATCCTGTGTATTAAACTGTGGCATCATGGGAAGGTGTCTAACTGCTTCGAAAAATGAACTGCGTGATATATACGCATATATATGCATATGTATATGTTATGCATGTATATCTATTGGACATCAGACAATTAAGGTCTCCTGTATTTCTTACCTAGTTATAGATTGTTTACTATTTACGATACTTTCCTATCAATGTCTTTACCTTGTCGTTTTGCCAACTTATTCTACTCATCTCATTTACCTTTTTTGATAAGGTGAAATTCACGCTATTGAAGAAAAAAGACACTATGGCGAGAACAATTTGGTGAGGAAAGAAAGATGATATCCGTAAAAGGAAGAAAAACATGAACCAACCTACCCGTTGATGGTTTACATACGCTGACTCTTGGTACTATCAACCACATCAGGGGCCTATCGAGGAATGGAATTCCCTTTCCACTCCCAACGCTCAGACCTCCACGAAGATATTATAATTATGATCCAAGCTCTAGCTCAATTGCTTTGAAATCTCTCAGTGTTCAGGAAATTTCTTCATGCGGTGTGCTTTCTATCTAACTCACCTGTTTTTGCCATTGTAGGGCATGAAAAAGGTCTGTCCCTGGAACCAGGGATGGCCCTCCCACTGACTTGTGTTGTAAAGCCAATTCACCCATAGGAATACCCGTCGTAATAAACTGTCTGTGACATATAAGGAAACGGATGGGGTAGGGAAAAAATAAAATAAAATAAAAAGTCCTGCACGAAGTTGGGTGTCCACTGTCACACCTCCGAGGCTTTGATTTCTTTCCACTCGTGACAACCATACAGGGGGCATTCGACGGGTGTCGTGTCGGCTCATACTGCAGTCGTCTTTAGGTGCGAACACCTCTTCACTGTCACGACCCCCTGTACCCCTCTAATTTCAATTAAAAGTCTGATCCGCACGCACGGAGGGTAAAATGGATCGCAATTGAAGTCCAATGGAGGGTGCCAGGGTGTGGGTGGCTTGAATTTCAATACCGGAGGAAGTAGACTCCCTGCGATTTAGCGACAACAGCTCCCTCCCCCTTTCTGGTATCAACGTCGTGTTAGCTCATGGACCTCGCGCCTACGGTTCCATACGTGTGTGTTTGGTGAAAATTCTGGAATACGCTACAACGAGCAGCGAGGGTGATTGTTAAAGGAACGAGGGGGAAAAGGAGGCTGCCGATGAATCCCCAAGGTGAATCTTGTTAAGCATAATTCTTCTGGTTTAGTACCTTGTCAAAAAATGCATTGTATTCATTAATACATGCTATTCAAATCCAAGCTCGATGGAATTATGCTGTTTTTATTTAAGATGAAACTTTACATCTATTCACTTTTGTTTTTTTACATAATTGGCTTCTGTTAAGTATAATTTCTCTATTTGGGAACAGGATATGTATTGCTGCTTTAATGATACTGCTTAATCGTCAATAAGTACAAAGGGGAAAAAACATTCACGACCTGTACATATATTATATAATGCTGAACTAAGCTTCAACTCTTTATTTCAACTGCTAGGAGTTAGTATATTGAAAATATTTTGAACTCAAAACTTTTCACTCGTAGAAGAATTTATCTGATAAGGCTAGGGTACCACCGAAGTTAATATATATATATTATATATATATATATGTATATATATAATATATATATATACACACATTATTATTAATTTTCTTGACTTGACGAATTTTACGTGTTGTCTAAACGGAAATGATGGAGAAGAAATCACGTCCGACTTTGATCACGATGTTGCCTATCATCACTTCCATTCTCGACACCGATGTGTACAAGTTGTACATGCAGCAGGCGGTATTCCACCAGAACCGCGATGTGCACGCCGAGTATGAGTTTAATTCCCGCGATCACGAATGCTTCGGGGAATTCGCCGATGTCATTCGGAAACAGGTAAACTGCATGGCGTCCGTAGTTTTGAGTGATGAGGAGTACGACTATTTGTCGGGGCTGCCCCAATTTAAAATGGATTATCTAAACTATTTGCGATCCTACCGGTTTAATCCGAAGCAGGTGACTATCCGCGCGGTTCCCGCCGAGGAAGAGGGCCACAGCGACGCCCTGAAGCTCGTGGTGGTCGTTCAAGGGCCGTGGGTGGAGACGATCCTGTGGGAGATCCCGTTGCTCGCGATCATCAGCGAGGTCGTGCAGAACGCACGGCACCCCACGATCGGGATCCAAGAAGCCCTCGAGACGCTGCATCGCAACCTCGACAACTTCTTCGCCGCGCATAGCGAGGAGGAGTTGGAGTCGTTTCGCGTTTCCGACTTCGGCTCGCGGCGGCGTTTCAGCCAGGTCGTTCACGAAGCCGTCGTGCGCGCGCTACACGAGCACCCGCGCTTTTCCCGGCATCTCATCGGAACGAGCAACTGTGATATCGCGCGACGGGTGGGGATTCCGGCGGTGGGAACCCAGGCACATGAATGGTATCAAGCCTTCCAGCAGCTCTCCCCCGATCTCCGTCTTTCCCAGGCGACGGCGATGAAGATGTGGCTGCGAGAGTACCCCAACTGCCTCGGTATCGCGCTCACCGACTGCATCACGATGGATGCGTTTCTCAAAGATTTCAACTACGCCCTTGCCTCGGCATATATCGGGTTGCGGCAGGATAGCGGAGATCCGGTGGAGTGGGGCCGAAAGGCGATCGAGCACTACCGCGCGCTCGGGATCGATCCGAAGCAGAAGGTGCTCGTCTTCTCCGACGGCCTGAACCTGGAGAAGGCGGCGGAGCTGTATAATATGTTTAAGGAGCAAACAACGGTGATGTGTGGGATCGGCACGTACCTGAGCTGCACCATTGATGGCGTGCGGCGGCTGAATATCGTGATCAAGATGGTGCGATGTCAGGGACGCCCGGTGGCGAAGGTCTCGGATAGCCCCGGGAAGACGATTTGTGAGGATTCCACCTTTGTCGAGAAGCTTCTCCGGGTTTTCAACGTGCCGAATCGGCCAATCGCAAAGTGCCACAAGGTTATGAGTACTTAACAAAAGGGTGCTTTGCTGTATAGTAATAAATCCATCCAACAGAAATAAATGGAAAAGAAATATGATGCAATTAACAATATATCTAAATGACAAAGAAAAAAAGGTTAGTTTCCCTTTGCTTGTGTTGTTGGTGGTCTGTAAATTTAAATAGGATTGTTTAAGTTTCGATGGTTTGCTCAAATAATACGCTATAGGAGGGAGGAAAATGTTTGCTTACAAAAGTTTAATCCTAAAAATTTTCTCGTTTCCTTTAAGTATTGACGTTGGCTTCAGTTTTTATATGCCTCCCCCAGGTATCAGAGCGTGCATAATCCTATAGATATATATATATCTATATACAAATATATATGTAATGTGTGTGTGTGTGTGTTCGTCCAAAGTATTTATCCTCTCACGACTTTATCAGGCTAATATTGTTTGCATATATATTTTTGTTTTGACCAGATCAAAAAGTGTAAAGAATTTTTTTGGAAAACATCGTCCTGAAATTTGGCAACGGATGCTATTTTATTGAGGGGGGATTTCATAAAAAAATTTCATGCGATTCTTCGTCATCATTGGATTCGCTTATTGAATTTGTGTGTTTTTTTCTTTTTATCTGTCAACACGTATTGCCATCCTTGCAAGCAAGCTTGTGTTAGCAATCGAAACGATAAACTTGGATTTCCCCCCGTGTGAATTCGGGAAATAATATCACATAATAGCCTTCATAGTGCTACCACTACGAGTAATAACAATAAGAATATTATATAAGTAGTTAGAATTTAATCGTTTTGTTGAGAATAAGTGTAGGTATCTAAGTAAGGCAGAACACGGCTATAATATGGACATACTTATGTATGCATTTATACACTTCACATTTTATGCACCTACGCAAATGCATATTAACCTTATTTTTACCTTTCTGTGTGTGAACGTGATAAGAGCTGATGGTTTAGATGGAGAAGGAAATAAACACCATTTCAGAGTTAAAGATAAAAGCTATCTTTGTCTAACTCTGTAAACTCCTATGGCCTTTTTAAAACTGAAGGTTTGCTGCTTGTCTGGTTGAGATGCCTACTGTGGTATCTTTCGAAAAGTACTCGAGTAAGAAGCAATCCCTTGGTGAAACCCTGTTAGTGACCTAGCCCATCCCTCAGTCGTATTTTCGTTGCAGTTATAAGGCGATATTCCCTCCTTTTTATTTGCGCGGCGTTGCTATTTGGCAAAACTTCCCTTTGCCAATTTTCTAGCCGAGGTTGACTTCCGTTAAGTGATCTCAAGTGTAATGTGAGCATCCCAAAGTGTTTCAACAACCAAAAATTCCGCGAAAGTGGATTTTTGGAAACAAAATCTTTAGGGTACATGCCCATACTTCGTTCCGCTTTGTGAGAAAAGCTAGCGACGTTGAGGTCTTTGATTTAGTTGTGTAAAGTACCTGTCTTTATTCATCCTGAATCAATGGTCTTAGCATAAATAAAATTTTTATCTTTATTCCCTTAAGTTGCCTTAGTTTGCATGGTTTGCTGTGCATCACAACGGGTGGGTGTGTCTAAAAACAAAAAAAAATTGCCTCTATCAGATTAGTGAATGAATTAGCAAGATGTACATTTCTCCCTTTATTGTAAGATAAATGGTTTCATATATACTTGCGCTTTTTAAAAAATTATTTTTTATCATTAAATAGCCCAATAAAGTTATGACAAAACATTGGTAGTAGTGAACCTTTTCCTTGTTATTTTTTCATATGAATTGCCACTCTCGTCGGAAATTATATATCCTTCCGAAGATAAGATAATTGATTAATATGGAAAAAAAACTCAGGATAGCCTTTTATCACGCATCCTTTTCGCTGTTGAAACAGGACCCCTTGTCTGAACCTGAGGGGGGGGGGGGGGAGACCCCGTTTTGGTAGCCGACGCTTTCTCCTTTTTCTTTCCTTCTTTTGGTTACACCCATTTTCCTATAGGATACCCAACGGAATTGCATCCAATTTTAGCCCTGTCGCCTCTCTTCTCTCCAACCCTCCGATCGAATGCCCAACGAGGCGAACCAGGCGATTCAACCCACGACGAACGTCCTGGGCGAACCGCCCGTCGGGGATCCGGCGAGGGCGGAACCCCGCCCCGCCGTCGGGGCGGTGATTCTTGACTTTCGCCTGCTCGATTATCGAGGACGGGACCCCGTGGCGGCGGCTTCGGAGGCCGTCCGTCCCTTTCGCCTCACCCCTTACATCGTCCTTCAGGTCCTCCGCGCGGCGGGGTTTTTGCCGAGCCTCGTCCGTCTCACCTCGCGGTATCGCTCGCGGGAGCAGGGGCTGCCGA